GAACACACAGGCAGATTTAACACCTTTAATCGAAGCAAACGTTGGTAAAAAAAAACAAACAAACAAACAATAGCACCATAAATGTGACACTTTTTACATTTATTTTTTGGGGCATAAGCAGCACAACTCAAAGCAGCTGAACAGGGAATAGCAAGTCTTGCCTTAGAGATCATATTGAACGACAAGGGTAAACAATTCTTTTTTCAAATGATATAAACCCATTCTCTGAAAATTTATGTGATTGTCAAAGTTTATGCAGGTAGCATTTTGCACTACCTGGACCTTTAAATGTAAGCAGACCTTTTCTTATACGCGCTGGACCTTTTCTTTAAAAGGTTATCGTATTAGCCCCCCCCCCCCCCGATCTTTAAACGAGGAGGAACAAATAATATGCAACACCGGTCAATCGGTAGGGGTTGCTTACTCCTCCATGGCACCTGATCTGTTTTCAGAGGTCTATTTTTGCTCTGCCCATAATCTGTTTTGATTAAATGAATTTTTCAGCATGATTACGGTTCAGGGGGTCGTGACATAAATGTACTTAAGTCCAAGACCATGCTAAAGTAGGACTTAAGTACAGTCTAAAAACTTAAGACCATAACTAGAAGCGTGCTAAGATTTGACAATCTTAGCAAAACTTAGGCAGTCGGTAGAGGTGACTTAAGCATGTTTTAACTTCTTTAAACACATATTTAGAACTATTCAAAGGTTGACTTTCGACGTCAAAACATTCATCTAATCATAGTATACATTAAAGAAAATAATTTTCTCTATTTAATATTGGTATATATAAGAATTTTATTTTTTCGTCGGGGGAAGGGGGAGGGGGTGATATTGATCACTGATTCCAATTTCACTCTCTAAATGACATTCATGTAAAGGCAAAATTTTATTTTTGGGATACGATTGAATGTTAGTGGGACCTAGGTTATAAACACTAAGCATTATAAGTTAATTGTACACAGTAATCATGGATTTTTATATTCAAAAATGAGATGATATAGATTTATATAAAAAAAAAACACAGAAAAATTGTCGTTGAATTAAAGGGTGCTTACTAGAAAACTAATAAAGAGTGTCTGCTTAAATTAGATTAAACGTAGAATGCAACAAGCGTGGATTCAGACAGAGTTCACTAATATAAGAGAGAGAGAGAGAGAGAGAGAGAGAGATGTAGGAGGTATACGAAAAATTATCTTCTTTTCCATCCTTGATTAGAATTGTAAATAAGTATATCATAAAACGTCTGCAGTCTTTGCCTGCTGATATGGGCTGATTCATCGGAGTAAAAAGAATTTAATATGTCCCTATTGTTTTATTAAGAGTTTCAATTTCAAGTACATAGACGTTCGGTTATCGTGCAATGTCTGCGAAAGTGACAATTTGAAAGCAAGTGAACCTTTGTCAAAACAAAAGAATAACGACAAACATTGCAGTCTCTAGTGATGAACAATATTCATGCATATTACAGTGAACCACTATTTTTTGTCCGTGCAATATTTATTTTCAAATATTCAGACTAATTTTAAACAGAATATTTTTAATACGAAATCTAATCTAACCTAGCTAAAACCGATAGGTAAGGACGTCAACTTTAACCTATGTGTAATTAAAAACGCAACTAAATCATATTTTTAGAAATACATGTATATATATAAATAAATATGAAAATTATGATGATTCATAAAATATTTTGAACGTAAGTTTGACGTAGCTAAGTTCATTTTATGTTACGGTTTAAGACAAATTTAAGTAGTACCTAGGCAGGTCTTGAGATTGCGCCTAAAACATACTTATGACCCTACTTAATAGTAAAAAAAATCCGGAACCTTTCGGAGAGCCGTGGACAAATTTAATTGTAATCTCTTGTTTTATTCTTTACACTTTAATGCTCGTTTTATAAATAGCTTTTTATTTTCTCAATATCGAAACTTGCAGGACGGTCAGGGGTCTTTGAAGCCTTCCATCTTATTCAGAGTTAATAAAGAAACAAAATTATGAATTTCGATACACACCCCATTTCAGGAAACACGACCCCTTATAAGTAAGGACGTTATATACATATATGCATGTGAAGGAAAACTGCTTGTCGGTAAAAGTGTTTAATCTCACCCTTACTCCACCTTTAAGTCCCCCACGAAATATATTTATAATTACATGTACATTTAAATGAAAGTCCAACAAAGTGAAGAGAATTGACCCACTTTATTTTTACATGGTTCTATACGTAGTAGTATAGTCGGTGTTAGAAATATGCATTACAATTGAATTAAGAAAATTGTAACAATTTTTCATTTAGTCTCAAACTGAACATAATCTGGTATGACTTATTAAGTTATTTAAAGTTATTTAAAAAGTCATACAAGAATTATACATGTGCTACATGTAGTTAAGGCATCGATCGGTGTGTATTATTTCAGAAGCCCTCCGTAAACTTATTTCCGTGATTTTTTTTTTAATCCAGTTCGACCAATTGGTAGAAAACTCGACTCAGCTCAGAGAGACAAGAAGGGCGTTCTAATGAAATTTAAGAAAAAAACAACTACATGCATGGGAGCAATCTATTCAGCTACTCCTGTTTGTATCTTAATCTGTTGTGTAATTTTTATTTTATCTATGTACCAGTGATCCAGATAACATATTTGCGGAATCGTAATACATTTTCCCCCTTTTTTATGCGGAATCGTAATTAAAAAAAAAATTCGAGAAATTGTGACTCATTTTTTGCGGAAAGATATTATCAATATGCGAAAACGTGGAACACCGCTTCAAAGTGAAGGATTGGTGATATCCAACAAGAAGACCCAGGACAAAAAGAAAAAAAAAATATATATAATCTCGTTTTCCTACCCATGTTCAAATGGTTGGGGTTTCTCTCTCTTTTTTGTGGCCCGAATGTAGAAAAGATTTTCGAGTTTAGACAATAGGTTTAGGTTTTTTTCCTGCTTGTCAAACTGTTTTGGAGTCCCCCCCCCCCCCTCCTGCGTTAAAAATCGATTTTTAAGCAGCAAAAAGGAAGAAAAAATGACAACACGCCTTATATTAAAATTTCCTATGTACATTAACAACAGTTATTTTCTCGGGAGAATAAAAAAACACTAGGGGGCATCCCTGTACCCCTTCGATACTGCGTGCTTCAGATCGTAGTATTTCCCGGTTTAATATCACGGCTAGACCATGATTGTGACTTCCTGTTCTATTCCTTATTTGGGGGGAGAGGGTAATCTATGTTCAATTTGGAAGACCAATTATAGAATCTGTGCTGTGTGAGTCAATAACCTCTAAAGCATAATCCCCTTTCAATTATTAAATGGATACATTATATATGATATGTTTTAAAACCTATATTCGCTGTAAAGGTCCCTGGTACAGAGCGAGGACAATCTCCCAGCCTGAAAAAACACGATTCTCAATTTTGAAAGTTCTTGAAAAGTTACATTTTTCAAAAAAAAAATGTATTGTTAATATCATCTTTTACACATTAGCTTCCTTTATTTTACTGAATAACTTATTGATAAATAATTTATTTTTCTCCACGAAGTCTTCTTGTCATTGATGTGTTTCAGTGTGATTAAAATAAAAGAGGTTGTTGAAGCGTATTTTTTTCTATAATGTTCGATTTTCAAATGGAATGGGCTCAGACTCCATTTTTTAAAACTTTAAGTTAATTTTACATTTACTTTTCGGTCATTTAAAGGTTAATGTAGAAAGGGAACTTGTCCCATTCATTTTCAAAAATCATTTTGTGTGGCTCCAAAAAACCAGTTTTCCACTAAATATGCTTTACTTACAACTTTAAAACAAATCATCAACCAATGCCATTTAATAAAATAAATGAATCAAATATGTTGAAAATGCCATTCCTGAAAACTTTATTTTAGAAAAATATAACTTTTCCATGAACTTTAAAGATTGAGAAATTTATTATCTCAGAGCGGGTGATTGTCCCCGCCTTATACGCCCCGTTTCTTTTAAGATGTCTTTTAGGTTTCACAATAATGTGCATTATAAAACCACTATCGTTATTTTGATCTAACTTTACCATGATATTTTAGTAGGGATATTTCCTACAGCTGATTGATTGATTGTGTGTATTTTTGTCCCATTCGAGAATTTCCTACAGTTGAAGTCAAGCTTCTATCATTTAAAATTTACAGCATACCACCGACAAACATTTATCTGCTTTTATATACATTGTACATCAGTTTGCATTGGTCTATAATTCTTACCCAATTTGATCTTCCCCTTAAATCCTTCTCCCAAGCAGAATAACATGTTATATAGTTTTATCATATCTCTACTGATTTTTTCCCTATAGAACATTAGATCGTTAGATGTGACTAATTCCCTAGAAATCGTAATGAATGGATTAGTCCCCGTGCGTTAGTCAAGTGAGCTAATCCCTGCTTCGAAAGCTAATTCCCGGTTATCCGTAATCCTCTAGATTTTACTTTTACATTGGTATGATATGTGAATGGACTAATCCCCGTGTGTTAGTTAGTTAGTGAGCTAATCCCTGCTATGAAATCATGCTATCTGAATCCTCTAACTCTAAATTTTAAGTTTTTATCAGTATAATAAAACAGTTAAAAGTATATCATTGCGGGAGTTAGCAAGATTTCAGTTCCTCTCGACCAGGACTATTTCCCTCGGCTTCGCCTCGGGAAATAGTCTTGGCCTTGGAGAACTGGAATCTTGCTAACTCCCTCAGTGGTATATTTTGACTGTATAAGTATCCACCGTTCTGGTCATGAAAAGCATTTCTAGATATTTAATACTGCAAAAGTTATGTAGTTTTATTCTGCAATCTAACGAAAAAGTAAACATATACAAAGAAAATTAAATTTCTGTTTATTTCAAAAATAAAAATCATCACAAATTGTGCTCATTCAAAATTCAGTCAAAATATGATCTATTCATGTAGCTTACATTACATTAGAAATTCAAACACATGCAAGTTTATCAATAGAGGTTGATATAATATTATATTTAGCAATGTTTTAATAATTATATACATGTACACATCATAAAAAAGTGTCTTTTTATATTATGCTCACACATAGCAAGAGGCTACTCTAACTTACACAGTAAGTCAACACTCTTCTAAACTAACTCAACATGAAAACACATAATGAGCTACACTACTTACACACATATTGAGTCACTACATGACTATTACACATAAAAATAACAATATTAGCACACAAAATGAGCTACATGTACACTACCGCAGGTAAAATTCTACATTCCCAACACAAAATGAATCCCATGCTACATGTACAACAAACAAATCAAAATAACAATACAAAATATGTATTACAAATACATGTAACAATATTAAAACACACAATGAGCTATACCAGTAACACACATAAAATTATACATTCCCAACAAATGAGTCACCATACTACATGTACAACTCACATAACAAATAACAAAAGTACCACACATAATAAGCTACACTACTAACACACATGTCGAGTCACTACAGAACTAACACACATGTCAAGTAACTACACTACTTACACACATGTCAAGACACTACACTACTTACACACATGTTGAGTCACTACACTACTGATATATACCTTACAAATAACAATTTTAAATCACACGATGAGCAATACAAGTAACACACATAAAATTATACATTCCCAACACATGAGTCACCATACTACATGTACGACTCACATAACAAATAACAAAATTACCACACATAATAAGCTACACTACTAACACACATGTTGATTCACTACACTACTAACACACATGTTGAGTCACTACACTACTTACACACATGTCGAGTCACTACACTTCTAATATATAACTTACAAATAACAGTTTTAAATCGCACGATGAGTTATACAAGTAACACATATAAAATTATACAATCCCGACACACCAGTCACCATACTACATGTACAACTCACATAACAAATAACAAAATTACCACACATCATAAGCTACACTCATAACACACATGTCGAGTCACTACACTACTTACACACATGTCGAGTCACTACACTACTTACACACATGTCGAGAAATTCGCTGGATTAGACGACATTCCGGATTAGACAACATTTAAAACAATTGAGTCTACTGCAGGTGACTTAAAGTTAACATTGTATAAGTCAAGTTTTTGGAGTACACAACATCCGAATAAGACAAGTTTCACTGTATTTAAACAATAAAATGCTTTCTTTGGTTGTTAGTACGGGAATTAATGTCACAGCTGTTGCAGAAAAAATACATAACCCGCGTAAGCAGGTTATGTAAATTTTTTTCTGCAATAGCTGCGACATTAATTCCCATACTAACAAACAAAGAAAGTCATTTTATTGTTTATATTTATATCTGTATAAAAAACATTCAAAGTAAAATTAAACATGTTAAATATTGTATTATAGATGTGTATGTCATTGTATGTATAATTAATGGAACAGTCGTTGCTCAAGAAATCTATGCAGGTGGCTTCCTTAGTGTTGTTTACTCACTGATAAACAGCAATGGGTACTTAAGAAATAAAGGAAATAATATTAAAAGGATGTAAATATATTACAAATAACAATATAAGAACACATGAGGAGCTTTACCAATAACACACATAAAATCACATATTCCCAACATTTAATGAGTCAACATACTACATGTACAACACACATAACAAATAACAAAATTACCACACATAAAAAGCTACACTACAAACACACATGTCGAGTCACTACACTACTAACACACATGTTGAGTCACTACACTTCTAATATATACATTACAAATAACAACATTAAATCACATGATGAGCAATACCAGTAACACACATAAAACAAGAAGTCTGTGAGCCAATGCTCACTGGTAATACCTCCGCTGTGATTTGAATATACACTATCATGTGTATATTCACAAGTTCAACTATGGACAGATGCATGAATAAACAGGAAGTTGACATCAGATTCATACAAAAATGAATCCCACCATATGACAATTATGCGTCAACAAAGAGTGTGCTAAAAATTTCAAGCATCTGCAATGAGTTGTTGCTGAGAAAACTTTGACAAAAATTTGTTCCGTATTATACAGACAGACGCACAGTTAAACAGGAAGTTGACATCAAATTCAGAAATGAATCCCATCATATGGCATGCCTAAACAAAGAGTGTGTAAACTTTCATGCATCTGCAATAAGTAGTTGATGAGAAACTGCAACAAATATTTGTTATATATGGTATAGACAGACACACAGATAAACAGGAAGTTGACATCAGACTTGTACAAAATAAATCCCACGATATGGCATGCCAAAATAAAGAATGTGCTAAAATTTCAAGCATCGGCTCTGAGTAATTGCTGAAAAAACTGCGAAAAAAATTCGTTATGTATGGTACGGACAGACGCACAGATAAAAAGGAAGTTGGCACCAAATTCATACAAAAATGAATCCCACCATATGACATGCCTCAGCAATGAGTGTGCTAAAATTTCAAGCAATAAGTAGTTGCTTAGAAAACTGCGACGAAAATGTGTTATGTGTGGTATGGACAGACACATGGATAAACAGGAAGTTGACATCAGATTTGTATGAAAATGATTCCCACCAAGCCTAAACAAAGAGTATGCTAAAATTTCAAGCATCTGCAATGAGTAGTTGCTGAGAAAACTGTGACCAAAAATTTGTTATGGACAGTCAGACAGACACCCACACAGCTAGACAGACAAGGGTAAAACAGTATCTTTTGGAGCAAGAATATAATAATACATTCCTAACACATGAGTCACCATACTACATGTACAACACACATAACAAATAACAAAATTACCACACATAATAAGCTACACTACTAACACACATGTCGAGTCACTACACTACTAACACACATGTCGAGTCACTACACTACTAACACACACGTCGAGTCACTACACTAATAAAATATACATTACAAAAAAAATTATTAAAACACACAATGAGCTATACCAGTAACACACATCAAATTAAAATATACTTTCCCAACACATGAGTTGCCATACTACATATACAACAATCATAACAAATAACAAAAATACCACATATAATAAGCTACACTTCAAACACACATGTCGAGTCACTACACTACTAACACACATGTCATGTCACTACACACTAACATACTTGTGGAGTCACTACAATACTAATATATACACTACAAATAACTATAATAAAACACACACAATGAGTTATACAAGTAACACACATAAAATTATACATTCCCAACACATGAGTCACCATACTACATGTACAACTCACATAACAAATAACAAAATTACCACACATAATAAGCTACACTACTAACACACATGTCGAGTCACTACACTACTAACACACATGTTGATTCACTTTACTACTAATATATACATTACAAATAACCACTTTAAATCACACGATGAGGCATATCAGTAACATACATAAAATTATACATTCCTAACACATGAGTCACCATACTACATACGTACACAAAATAACCACACATCATAAGCTACACTCATAACACACATGTCAAGTCACTACACTACTTACACACATGTCGAGTCACTACACTACAAATATATATTACAAAAAACAATATTTACACACATTATGAGTTATACCAGTAACACACATAAAATTATACATTAATTCCCAACACATGAGTCACCATACTATATGTACTATCATACATGTAAAACAAATAACAAAATTACCACACATAACGAGCTATACTACTAACACACATTTCAAGTCACTACACTACCATTCATTTAATGTTATATATAAATGAGGTCATATAAGGAGTCAATACATTTACAATAGAGTCAACATGCTCCTAAAACACACTTATATTAGGTCGTTATAGCACTTGTCACATGTACTAGCACATGAATCACTATTATGACAAAAGAATTCTTTAGATGTACATGTAGTTGTTATTTAATCTTTGTCTAGCTGTTATGATATTTTAACAGCAAATTTTATACTCTTTCCTGCAAATTCAAAGATTGTTCTGCTTTCTGGAGGGGCATTCAAACACTTCAATTGACCATGTTTAAGTCATACTGACTTATTCCACTCCACATTGGCACTCTATGGCTGTTTTTCTTTTGTCCACACATCTTACAAATGGAACTGAAATACATAATTATATAATAGAACCATTAAAGCTTTTACATAAAAATGAAATAAAAATATATCAGTGATCAAGTTTCCAATCTTAATTAAGACACAACAACACTTCTTTAAAAGCAAAAGGACAAGAATAAATTTTAAAATTAAAATTCCTAAAACAGCTAGTTAACATTTTGTGTATTTGATTTGTATTAAATGATTATCCTTTAGAACTTGTTAGCCTTTTGAATTACTGTAAATGTATTTTATTTAGCGTGTACGATATTTGGTAGAAGTTGATTATTGAGCAAGTTAGCGGAGATTTGATTTAGAGCATTTGTTAATGTTCTTCTTTATGGGCATTTGTGCAAGACATTTAGCGTTGTACTTGAATTAGCGGACATTGCTTTCCGACAAAGGCACTAAAAAGAATACACAGCGAAAAGTATATTCACAACTTAACAAACACTTTCTGAAATTTTGGGTTATCCTTTTCTTTTGTCCTTGCCTTTGGTTTCCTATCAAGCTTTCCAGTTTAAAGTGCCAAACTTTAATCTCATCTTGTTCGATAATTTACATATCAAAAGGTTGGAATCTTTATAGTTAGGACTATATAAGTACTCACAACAGAATACATGCATCTAGACAAATAAGGATTTTTATGCCCCGCCATGAATATGGCCGGGGCATATAGTGTTTGTCATGTCCGTCTTCCGTCCTTCCGTCCTTCTGTCCTTCCATCCTTCCGTCCTTCTGTCTGTCCTTCCGTCACACTTTGCGTTAAGCTCTGTTCAAAGCTCAGTTTCAAAGAAACTACACAAGATATTTTTATCAAACTTCATGGGCTGATAGATATTGATGAGAGCTATGCAACTGCATCAACATTTTTTGACCTTGACCTTTCCTTTGACCTTGACCTCACTTTTCTTAAAGTAGTGTTTAGCTCAATTTTTTAAGATACCATTCAAGATAGTTTAATCAAACTTCATATGTTGATACATACTGATGTAAGCTATTCAACTGCATCAACATTTTTTAACCTTGACCTTTCTTTTGACCTTGACCTCACTTTTCTTAAAGTAGTGTTTAGCTCAGTTTCAAAGATACCATTCAAGATAGTTTAATCAAACTTCATATGTTGATACATACTGATGTAAGCTATTCAACTGCATCAACATTTTTTGACCTTGACCTTTCCTTTGACCTTGACCTCACTTTTCTTAAATTAGTGTTTAGCTCAGTTTTAATGAAACCATTTAAGATATTTTTAACAAACTTCATATGCTGATACATAGTGATTAGAGCTATTCAACTGCATCAATATTTTTGACCTTGACCTTTCCTTTGACCTTGACCTCACTTTTCTTAAATAAGTTTTAGCTCAGTTTTAAAGATACCATTCAAGTTGGTGTTATCAAACTTCATATGCTGATACATACTGATGAGAGCTATTCAACTGCATCAACATTTTTTGACCTTGACCTTTCCTTTGACCTTGACCTCACTTTTCTTAAATTAGTGTTAAGCTCAGTTTTAAAGAAACTATTCATAATATTTTTATCAAACTTCATATGCTGATACATATTGATGTAGTCTTTTCAACTGCAGCAACAATTTTTGACCTTGACCTTTCCTTTGACCTTGACCTCACATTTCTTAAATTAGTGTCAAACTTCATATGCTGATACATACTGATGTAAGCTATTCAACTGCATCAATATTTTTTTTACCTTGACCTTTCCTTTGACCTTGACCTCACTTTTCTTAATTTGTGTTAAAATATTGCATTACTAATATACCCTCGGCGGGGCATTCATGTCCTATGGACATATTTCTAGTTTCAAAATGAAAACATGTATCCAAGCAAGTCACTTATAAGAATATTATAAATGAAAACATTCAACAAGCTACACAAATTAGATTCATTTAGCTTTTCCTGTATATTTATCTGTCTCTCATTAGTAACATATATTAAGAAATGGAGTAAAATGAAAGATCTAATTTTAATTACACTAAAAGTCTACGAAGTAACAGTAATATGTAATAATTAGTTTTACATGTTTCATAATGTGCATAAGGAGATGGGTGAACAAGGCATGCAAAAAGCCTATAGCTTCAAATGTATAAAAGTCATATTCAAATACTGAGTTTAGTATTTAGAGTAAAGTTCTTCTTATTGAAAGGTATAACATTATATTACAACAAAACTTTTCTGTGGAAAATTCTTTAAGCAAAAATCATTCTATGATAAAAAAAAAAAAAAGTGGTATTCTAGGGGTTGAAACCCAAGCAATGAAATTAAATCCTGAATATCAGTTTTTTTTCTAAGAGACTAACATGCTAACCACTAAACTATATACATGTAGCTCATGACAAAAATGGGCATTTACATATGTAAATCACGTTTAAAAATGTGGCTCTTGACTAAATGGATTTCAAATATATTTCTGAAAGATATGCAGGGTTTGACACTAAGGCACGTCCGACTGACCCAGTCTAGTAAATGCATGGTCCGTCATGTTAAATGTTCAATAACTTGCCCGACTGGTTGTGTGGATGAAATAAATGTTAACTCTCATTTCAGTCTTTCAAATAAATGCTCTGACTAAAAACTTTTTAAAGAAATTTTCTTAATTTTCAGATTGCAAACACAGCCATTGCTCTGAAAAAGAAAACTTTCCTTCATGACACAATTGCTATTTTTTTTAGACCGGCTGTAATAGACAAGTCACAATCGAAACCTCAGCTTTGTTCAGTATCATTTGGTATAAATATTCATTGAATATTATAGTTTTTAATTTATTTACATGTATATTTACGGTAATAATTTTATTTAAGTTCCTTGAATTAATGTTCTTTAAAGCTTATAACATTCGCATGTTCACTCATTGGGCTGCTACCTATGGGCTCAACAGTCTGTCAAAATGTATACATGAACACATGCGAGAGATACACTGTAGTATGGTTTCAAAACTTTTTTCCAATTATAATAGGAGGTTATAAATAGAAAATTTTCAAGTTTGGTCAGGGCTAGTGAATTTGTGGTCAGAGCTAGTAAAAATTATGGGAAGTAGCACGACTGATCTAGTACTCATAAAACTTAATGTCAAACCATGATATGAATGTTGTTGTGACTAGTGGTGTTCCAATCATCAATTATAATCGAAAATCAGTAGATTGCTGGCATAATCCAAGCACTCGATTACAATTTTTTTATTTATTTATTTATTTTATTTTAAAAGCGTAATAGTTTTTAAGCCAAATATTCCAGCCGCAACTTTTCTATTAACTTATATGCATATCGTAATGGCACAGACAAAGAGACATTGTATTCATACCCAGGTAACAACGCTCATTCCTGGGTATGGACGTACTTTGGATTCTACAAAATGAGCGTAGAACCAGCTTGACTAGATAGAACATTCTGTCGTTAAAATGATATTGTCCTAAGGACTAGGGGTTGTTCCGAGACACAGTTATTCCAACTACAGCTGGACCACCACAGAAAGTAGTTATTCAACCATTCTTACCATTTAATAAACTAAAATTGACAGACTTTGTAAATGTCCGATTATAATTGATAATTAGTTAGTTACAGTAGCCTGATCATCGATTATGAAATTCTTACCAATTCCCATCACTAGTTGTGACATAAAAGTCTATTTTTAGAAGAGTTGGTCATTTCACCACGTTTTTGTCAAACGAAATAGGAAAAGTTTTAAATATGCTTCGAGTATAATCTTACCAAAATATGGAGTGAAGACCTACTCATATTTAAAAAGTATGATATAGGAGGAAAAAATGACCATTTTTGCCCTCTTTTGGTGTGTATCTGCTATTTCATAGATCAATAATATTAATCGTTATAAGATTGTAGCAAATTGCAAAGATTTTACATAAGGTATACAATAATGTTACATGAAGTATCAAAGAAAATTTTGACATGATTAAGATTTAACTTTTTACATCTTTTTTTGTCACACAATAGGCATTTACTTGCCTTGTTTGCCCATCATCTTTATCAGTAGATAAGGTTTATGATTCAGACGGCATCTGATAATGCAGCAATAAAATGTAAAATGATAGAAATAACTGCACTATGCTCACTTTTTTCCTCCCAGAGCTCTTCTTTTCATCTTCAATTTCTTCCTCTTCATTTCCTCAACTTTCTTCTATTGCAAGTTCTGTAAAAAAAAAAAAAATCCAATTCGATAAACTACTAAACTGACAAAAACTCAATTTGTCAAGTTTCGGATTTTACCAGATTCATGAAAAATCTTGGCATACTGAACCTTTTTAGTAATTTATCTGAGAAAAGAGTGGTTAGTAACTTATTCGTTTTCATGTACCTGCTTGACTTCGACAGAAACGTTTTGGTACTAGAATGTGAAATACATACTTTTGTTATTACCTAAAATATTTCCATGACCTCAAATTCACCTATATTTCTTGCTGCTATTAAAGCCTGGTCAAGAAAAAACATTTCCCCTATAACAGGCATCAATTAACAAGGTTATGATTCAAAGTTTCAAAGTGTGCAGCTTGATTCACACAAAAGGAAAAAAAACATGACTGAACAGATTTACAAGTACTTGCAAAGAAGACTAGAAATGTGTCTTGATCGACATTTTCAGCCTAAGGTAAAGTCAGGGCATAGTCATGTAACATGTAACATTTTTCATGATGAATTACCTATATAATCTCATTATCTTAAACTAGATGACACAAAGTAAAAAAAAATAAAGATGTTCCTGGGTTCCAGTAAAGAGTACTCAAATACCACTTAATCATACAGTGAAACCTGTGTAATCCGACATGCACTGGGAGACAAATTTTTTGTCGGAATAGATAGGGCGTCGTATTGATCAGTGTAAAAAAACATAGAAAAAAGTAAAATGGGAATAAAATTTAATGTTGGAATTTACAGTGTGACGGATTGCACAGGTGTCAGATTAGACAGTTTTCACTGTACAATCATATAATTATGGAGATAACGAAGCTCAAGAGTCCATAGAAAAAATACAAATCAGGAGCAAACACTGACCACTAAAAACATCAGAGGTGGGATCAGGTGCAATATAGGAGTAAACATCCTCTGCCAATCATTCACATTTGATGTGTGCTCCTTGTCATGATCGGGAAAATGGAAAAGCCTGTAGACAATTCAATGTGTAAACAGACAATTCAATGTGTAAATAATGGCCAAACAATTAGTATTAAAAACATCAGTCCGCATTCGACTTACATGTAATGAAAGATTGTTTTTGCTGACAAGGTCATTGTATCGACCATAGCTAATTACACACATGCAAGTCACTACATCCAGTCAAAGTTGATGTTTTGATATTTTTTCTCAAAATATTTATGAAAGAATAAGATAAGTACACGGTAATTTTGTTGACTTGAAGAAATACATTGATGGGGGAGGGGGGGGGGGGGTATTGTGATAATAATTACCTAGTCCTTTTTCATTCTGCCTTTTTCTTTATTTTTTTCCCTTTCTCTTCCGTTCCACCCTCTGGCTCATTATCTTCCATCACTTCACCCCTCTCAGAAATGGTTTCCAGTACAGATAAAGTGGTTGATGAATGACTTACTCAAAATTATGGACCCAAGATATAGATGTAATAATGTTACATGACACACACTGCAAGTCACTGTGCCCTGTAAAAATTGTTACCTTCTTCATTTATATTTAAGGATCAAGAACTAAATAAGAATTCATTCTTAAGTTTTACAAAAAAACTATATAAATCAGGATTTGAGAGGGCTTTGTAAAAATACTGTGAGATACATAATGTAATAACCTTGTCCTTTCTTCACCTTGTCCTCCTTGTTCTTCAGCTTTTTCTCCACTTCCTCATCTTCCTTCATTAAATCTTCCCTAGTAGCTGCTTCTAGTAGAAATAAATACCAATAAAATAAATTTAAAAAACCTTGACTCAAGAAACAGTAATGGTTACACATATTATAAAAAAAGAACATTCTTAGAATATTTGTGAAGAACTAAATAAGTATTTAAGCTAATTAAAGTAAAAGACATTCCTATCAAATAGAAAACAAGAAGTCTGTGATCGAGCCAATGCTCACTAGTAATTATAATTCCCGCACTGATTTGAATTTGGTACGGACAAGCACAGGGGTAAACAGGAAGTTGACGTCAAATTCATACAAAAATGAATCCCACCATATGGCATGCCTAAACAATTTAAAAGTGTGCTAAACTTTCAAGCATCATCCTTAACAGTTGTTGAGAAAACTGTGATGGAAATTTAGTACGGACAGATGGAGGGATAAACAGGAAGTTAACATGGGATTCCTACAAAAATACATCCTACCATATGGCATGCCTAAACAGAGAGCGTGCTAAAATATTAAGCACCTTCGATGAGTAGTTGCTGAGAAAAGTGCAACAGAAATTTGGTAAGGACATGGATATAATAAATATGACTAATTTAAATCATGTTTCTGTCATTCCATGTAAACTTTGATCCTCTTCTGTGTCCCTACCCTACCCCTAGGGTCCATGAATTGAACAAACTTGAATCTACACTACTGGTATTTCAGGAAGCTTTCAAATACATGCAAGTTTCTCAATTAATGCAAAATTGGTTATTTTCACTGGTTTAAATTTTCATGATTTGAGGGGATTTAATTTGTGGTTGAAAAAAAAAAAAAACATATGACACCATATCAAAAAATTTCGATATTTGGTTTCACTACAATGTATACTAGTAGCTTAACACTGGAGGTTTTTTTTTTTATTTTGCCTACCATGAAATGAGACCTTGATCTTTAAGGTTTCATTTAAAACACATGCATCTTTCACTCATAGAGTCACAGCTTAGTAATCGAACAATCTCATTACCTTTTTCAAAAATCTTGGATTGACAAGGTGCTAGGAACAAGAATTGAACAGGGACCTATTGATTATAATGCGAGTACCGACAACAACTACCGTCTAGGCTACTGTGATTTGTCAGTTTCAGGAATTAAGATAAGGGATATCAATAATGAACACTTAAGTAATTATTGCAAAATATAAAGTCTAAACATTTCGGAAAGACTATGAATTTTAAATTAATTCTACTGATTTAGTTAAAAGTTTTTGTTAGAGACTGATAAAGGAGACTTAAATTTTCAATTCAACTTTCCAGCATCATGTTTTATACAGTGTAAGCATGACCTGACTAAATATATGCCTGAGATATTTTAATGTCAGGGTTCAACACTAATGTTAGTCCGTTAGTCTGATCAGACTAATACATTTTCATTTGGACTAATAAAATCTGTCGCTAGTAAGTCCCAACAGACCAATAAAAATTTCTGGAAAACAAAATGAATAAATTACGATTTTCAACAACATTTACTAGAAAACCCTGCATGTATTTTTAGCTTTCTAGCATCTTAGCAAGTAGTAAGGTAATTCTGAGTCAAGTTGGCACTTAATTTTACGACTGACTGATGTGAAATTAAACATTTTAGTGATTATGATTTAGTCCTGTACAAACAATTAAGGTGGATTCCGCCCAGAATTTCGTTGGACACCAAGGGTATTCCACCGAATCCACAAATTCCAGGCTCTCGGAGATTCCGCCTAAATTTAATTGATTCCAGTCATCAAATTCTAGGCTGAATTTAGTTCAGTGGGAAAATAGCTGGAAATTATAAAAAAGAAATATTTTGGACAGTTTAAATGGAATCTATATTCAGGCGGAATCCTGTTATTTCAATTCTAGGTGGAATTTCAATTTCCATGCAGGCAGAATGTCAATTTCCAGGCGGAACTAATTACATTTTCGCCTCAAATTTCCAGCTAGTCTCCGCTTGGTTAACGCTTGGTTTCTGCTTATATTGCTTTAACATTTATAGTAAGTTTTACGCCTGGAATTTTACTGAAAATTCTGTCTTGATTATGCCTTTTTCCAGGTGGAACATTTTGTACAGGGTATGATACATAAAGATGTCAAACGTTTTGAGTATAATGAACGAGATCAGGAATATGTTCATACTTCCTGCATGATCACGAGATTTTAAACAAGAGGCCCAGGGGCCACATCGCTCACCTGAGCACTATGGCTAGGAAAAAGCAGAATTCAGTTCAGTCTTGAAAGGTTGAAAAGTTTAAATAAAAAAGTGGTTCGGGGGGGGGGTTCATGAATTGAAGAAATTTGAATCTACATTATCTGAGGATGCTTCCATTTAAATATGACCAAACATGGCTTTGCTGTTCTTGAGAAGAAGATTTTTAAAGATTTTTCCTATATATTCCAATGTAAAACTTTGATCGCCAATTGTGGCCTCACCCGACCCCCAGGGGTCATGATTTGAACAAACTTGAATCTACACTACCTGAGGATGCTTCCATGTAAATATGACCAATCATGGCTTTGCTGTTCTTGAGAAGAAGATTTTTTAAAGATTTTTCCTTTATATTCCTATGTAAAACTTTGATCGCCCATTGTGGCCCCACCCGTCCCCTGGGGGTCATGATTTGAACAAACTTGAATCTACACTACCTGAGGATGCTTCCATGTAAATATGACCAATCATGGCTTTGCTGTTCTTGAGAAGAAGATTTTTAAAGATTTTTCCTATATATTCCTATGTAAAACTTTGATCGCCCATTGTGGCCCCACCCGACCCCCGGGGGTCATGAATTGAACAAATTTGAATCTACACTACCTGAGGAGGCTACCATATAAATATGACCAATCATGGCTTTGCTGTTCTTGAGAAGAAGATTTTTAAAGATTATTCCTATATATTCCTATGTAAAACTTTGATCGCCCATTGTGGCCCCACCCGACCCCCGGGGGTCATGAATTGAACAAACTTGAATCTACACTACCTGAGGATGCTTCCATGTAAATATGACCAATCATGGCTTTGCTGTTCTTGAGAAGAAGATTTTTAAAGATTATTCCTATATATTCCTATGTAAAACTTTGATCGCCCATTGTGGCCCCACCCGACCCCCAGGGGTCATGATTTGAACAAACTTGAATCTACACTACCTGAGGATGCTTCCACATAAGTTTCATATTTTCAAGCACAGTGGTTCTTGAGAAGAAGATTTTTTAATGATGCCATTAATTTTTCACAAATTCTTAATTATCTCCCCTTGGAAGAAGGCGTGGCCCTTCATTTGAACAAATTTGAATCCCCT